TTTTTTTTTTTTTTTTTTTTTTTTTTTTTTTGGCAAATTAAGCATTCTATTCCTAACAGTTCCGGTGGGAGTTCCAAGTTTCAGGGCTCGCTCTCCCGGGGTGGGGTGAAGTATAGCTCATTGGAAAACTTAGTGGTCATTATTGGTTGGAAAACTAACTTCGATATTAACCATTAGAAATTAAAAGCTGCTACCAAATGTTCATGTCTGTGAATTTGTATCACAATTTTTATTTATTTATTTTTTAAAGCCTAAATGTGACAAAACATATGTGTACTCAAATGTATTTCTACATACCCAAGAAGACTGACATTATTCACAATAATAACATGTCAGTTCATCTCTCCCCGAATGTAAGTTGACAGATACAATTGTCCATGACCAACAAAAGGAAAAGGATTCAACAGTACATTATAGAATAATTTAGGATGGGGTCAACTAGCGCACAATTATTCCTTCATCTTTATTCCCAAGGGTGGATTGGATCAAAGCGACTTTCCTGTTGAAGACTTTGTGCCTGTGCTAATTTGTAATGTTACTGAATTTTCGTAGTCAATTTCCATTTTGGATAGAAGGAATGATTTGCAATGATTCGATTAGAATAATGGATCCTAGTGTTATTCGTCTTTGCGATGGAAACAGAGAAATCTGAAATCTCCTGGAACCCTCAACTGTCGTTCAAATATTCTCAATATGTGCTAGTCTGGATGTGAAATTTAGTACCAGTTTAAAGTACATAATATGAAATTGGAAAGAAAACAAAGAAAAGTGCAGAATGAGAAATTCTTATTATTGTTTCTTTTATGGGGGAGGGGGAAGCAAGTACGCTGCTCGTGGATATTTTTCAGATGTTCTTATCCTTATAAATGGCATTTCCCAAATCTAGGGGGGGGCTATACCTTCTTCCATCCACCAATGATTACTGCCATTTAAATTGCATTTATGGGTGCAAGTTTTTTATCTCATAAATTTCATATTCTTCAAAATCTCAAAATTATTGGAAATAAGACATGCATGTATTAGGGAGATTTTGTTTTGCTTTAAATTCAGACTTAACTATTGTCAACAATGTTAATCAGAATGAGAATTGGATTTATGGCAGGTCCACCGGGTTCTGGAAAAGGTACCCAGTCCCCTATCATCAAGGACGAGTACTGTCTGTGCCATTTGGCTACTGGTGATATGTTGAGAGCTTCTGTTGCAGCAAAGACTCCTCTAGGAATCAAGGCTAAAGAAGCTATGGACAAGGTAAAGCTTTTCTCCTATGATGCTGACATGGACAACATGTTTAGCAAGATAGATTGGAAATTGTTCGAGAGTATTAAGAAAGAAGAAAAAGCTGAAATTTTATCCATTATAGTATTTAATACTGTAGCGTGTACCAAATGCATGCTCATGAAACTATTTTGCTATTCCTTCCCCTTTTTACACATTTGCGCTGCTTTGGTTTGAATCTTTCGTAAACGACATTTTTCTCTTCCTCTAGGGAGAACTTGTTTCCGACGACTTGGTTGTCGGAATAATTGATGAAGCCATGAAGAAGCCTTCATGTCAGAAGGGGTTCATTCTTGATGGTTTCCCAAGGACAAAGGTTCAGGCAGAAAAGGTTAGATGCCATTATATCAGTAATGTGTTCGTGCTATACTCTCTGCCTCTCTCTTTCACGGACACACATAAATACATGAGTTTTATAGTGCTTTATTACCGTTCTCTATTATTATTATTATTATTATTATTAATATTTTGTTTTATTTTTATTTTTGTTTTTGTTTTTTAGCTTGATGAGATGCTCCAGAGGCAGGGAACTAAGATTGATAAGGTGCTAAATTTCGCAATTGATGATGCCATTTTGGAAGAGAGGATTACTGGTCGTTGGATCCATCCTTCAAGTGGTAGGACCTACCACACAAAATTCGCACCTGCCAAAGTTCCGGGTGTTGATGATGTAAGTTGATTTGGTTTTCATTGGCCAAGTTATCTTGCGTTTGGCTTCTTGACCTCCCAACCTTATTTGCCATTCATGGCCGACAAAAAAATTTGTCTGCTACATGTCAATAAGAAATCAATTTTAAAGAATTTCTGGTACTTATTAGTGTTTGTCTATGCATTCACCAAATCTCTACTTTTTGTTGCAGGTCTCAGGAGAGCCTCTAATTCAACGGAAGGATGATACTGCGGAGGTTCTTAAGTCAAGGCTGGAGGCATTTCACCGGCAAACTGAACCCGTGAGTGTTTATTGCCAGATCAAGTTTCATTTAATCATGTTGAGCAACATTTTGCATCATTGTGGTGCATTAATTCTTTGATTAAAAACATAATTAGCCAACTATCATATTGCACATATGATGCGAATGCAGAATCGTTTACTTCTATCTGAATAAATAGCACTAATTCACTGTAATTTCTGGATCAATTTCACCTTTTTAACAGAAAAATTAAGTAATGATTTTGAAATTTATAAGAAGTTCGCATTCACTTCGTGAAAAAGTAGAATATAAGCACCCGAGAGTCGATTGTTAGGACACTGTATCTGGTTCATGATTTTGAAACCCCATTTCTCATTTAAAGTTCTGGAACTCATAAAACAGCAGAGGTGTGTTGTAAGCTATCCTAAGAAAATAATTTAAATACCTTTATCTATTGGGCGATTAGAATATTTTTCCTTTGTGTTAGGTAGTATTATCTTTGAATCTGACCACCATTTCAATGGTTGAAACCGTAAAGTATTAACCCTATGACACAACTGCTAAATCCTCATGGACCAAGGCTACATCCTATTTTCAGAAATTTAGTGCCTGTTTGGTAAAAGCTTTTGTTGCTAAAAGGCTGGTCAAACTTCATTTTCAGCCACATATTTTATAGCACCCACAACTTTTCATCTTCTTTTCACCGTCATCAACTTTTATTAATGTCACACTGTCTATAATTCCATGAATCTCTTTTATATTTTTGCAAACCTGAAATATTGCAGTCTTTTTCGGTTGGGGTTTGTATTCTTCTTGGATGCACAAACATCTTTTTCTCCGTAATCTGCAGGTCATAGACTATTATTCCAAGAAGGGTGTAGTTGCAGATCTCCATGCAGAGAAGCCCCCTAAAGAGGTCACTACCGAGGTTCAGAAAGTCCTATCTTCTTAAGAAGTCTTCCATGACTTTATTTTTCAGGCACAAACCTGTAAAACGGTGTCTTGTTGCATCGGTTTTATATTCTGGTTTTTTTCTTTCCTTCGTCTAGTCCATTCGTACTATTTTCATTGCTTTCGGCGTCTCATTTGAGTTTCAGAGAAATTATGTTATTGTCACAAAATAAATCTCCAATTGGTGTGAGAAGTTTTGTAATCTAATGGAAGATTACTTTGTTTAACTCCAAAATTTTATGAATTTCTGCTCATTTTTATTATTTTTGGCATTAAATTAGTTTGAGTGAGAAAATGCACACCTTTGACGGCTTCCTGGTAGTTCATTAGTGTCCTCCCGGAATTCTCTGTCAGCTGTGATGCGGAGCATCACTGAACATGGGAGTGTATACTTCAGAAAGAGGTAATCCCCTGAATGAATAGTGTTCGGGGTGGATTCTCGGGCATCATCCTGAATGATACAAGGTTTGATTGCACTTTTTCTATCAACTATAGCTTTTGAAAAAATTAATTGAGAGCCGCTATATGTACATCAACTTGGTTTACGGCCCCCTCACAATTTTGGGGGGTGGGGGGGGGGGGGTATCCAAATTTTTTTTATTCTGCTTAGTCACCCATTATGAGGGGGCTGTACACCTACAAATAGCAAAATTCAAAGTAATTATATCTCCCTACATTAGTCTTCATGTTAGACGAGGGAATTAGTACATAGAGTTATGCTACATTACTAGATTAATTTTATCAAAGTTGTACTAGATTAGCATTTGACAACATTTCATTGGTAATTGGGCCAAAAATATTTTTTCAATCATCCAATCACAATGTGTCAACTCATTTTAACAATATAAAGTGGCATATATAACCAAAAGGCACTCAGAAATTGAAGTCAACGTCCTGTCAACAATGAAAATTGCACCACTTTTGTTGAACATTATTATGGCCCATTTGGTATCCATTTTTTTTAAAATGTATTTTTCCCTTTTTTTTTTGAACCACACATTTTTTATTAAAATAATATTATACGTAAATAAAAAATTTTTCCTTATTTTTCAACCACACATTTCCCAACAATTTACTATTCAAAAATACATTTTTACATAAAAATGTTTTCCAAACACC